CACAAGCTGATTTACTAAGAGCCCATGCACTATTTTTGCTGACCACATGAATCCATTTTCATAAAAACTTAGAAGAACTCCTAGTGGACCATTTCTGATNTGGTCTAGCTCTTCTAATGGGATTTGGTTTGACAAAACAGGTAGGTTTTCCAAACTTGAATGGTATGTAAAGCTTCTGCGGAATCTAGGCTCAGTTCCAAGCGTAAACAACCGCGTAGGTAGTGATCTAGGTGCTACCTTTTCTACAGTTGACATTATCTATTACCTGNTTGGAAACAAACAGTAGCAAAATTTCAAAAATAGTAAACAACTCTCTGCACACAAAAAGATTAACGATGTAACTGAAGTTGAGAGAAATTATATATTAACACACATATCTTCCACTTTCGAATGAGATTTACAATTAAATATGAAAACAAAACAAACAAACAATGAGATAATCACGAAACCCTAACAATAAAACGAAAGAAATGTTGTGTTACCTCTATTGTATTACTATGATTTCGGCGACAATGGATTTCGAGACGGTGGAGTTTGCGGCTTTGAGTAGGCGTCGTGGAGTTTGCGGTGATGGAGTTGGAGATAATGGTTTTAGGGTTTGTAGATATTTTATAAGAAAGATACGCTTTATCNAAGNAAATTTTTTTTATAGATTATTAGATTGATGATATATTAGTTTTTAATATTATAAATAAATTTTTAAATAAAAATTAAGAAAATTAAACCATTTTTTTTTCCTAACTTAATTTGTTAAGTAAGGTTAAAAACGTCATTTCAACTATTAAAATAGAGTATTTTTCAAAGTGTAACAAATTTGGTAAATTTGGTATAGATTTCAAATTTCCCATAAGATTTAGGGTATACAAGCTAATTTCTACTTTTTTCTCTTTCAAAAATATGGGTTCGTATGAATAAATTAATACTTTTCATTTTATAATGGATTTAATTGGTAATACAAAATTGTAAAACTTTTATTGTGGTAATTAAGAGATAGTGGTATACGGTGATAATAAAGTTAGAAACGACAGAATATAGAAACACAATAAAAATAGTGGTACCACATTTCTGTACCATCATCTATATATTGTCTTACTGAATATATACATAGAACTCAGTACATGTAATGCGGTTATATAATATTATCAATCACAACCATGTATATGTATGCACATAGTTTCTTTCTAATATCGGATATCACAAGACCATACTTTGTCATCTTAAAACGTGCTCCGAATAAACCATTTGATCTATCATCTGTAAAATATTATGCATATCACATCTGTAAAATTTTTTATAGCACTAAACATGATGTTATTTTGTCCATTTGGTTTGAATAGTAAAAGATGAAAAATATGCTTTGCCAAAAAGATGCTTTTGCAAATGGTGCAATGCAATGCTCTTGTGAGATGTCATATTTTATTCAAACAACAAAAGATAACTACTACTCTTTTTTATGGCATACCTCATCACTTATTCTATTTTCCCTTTTCATCATGTATTTGCATTTTAATACAAAAGATAGTCTACATTTTTTTCACAAGTTTCTTTAAACAAGCACTTGAATCTCATATCTTCTTATATCATTTTTTATTTTCATGGTAGTTCAAACTTAAGTGGAGCACAATGAAAAAAGTATAGGTGTAGAATTAAAGACGAAGAAACTTTGGCTAGATAAATAAATCTGATCGCGCTTCATAGTTAATGGTTAGAGTGGATAATAAAGAAGAAGAAAAACATAAATTTCAGGCCCAATTGAAGAAATGTGGGAAGAAGTTACGTGTATAGTTGCAATGTTAGTGGTTCAGTTTATTTTCGCCGGAATGTTCATTTTGTTTAAGCTAACGGCCAACGATGGTACAAACCTCAAAGTCCTTGTGACTTATCGTCTCTCCTTTGCTACTCTTTTCATGCTTCCCCTTGCCCTTATCTTCCAAAGGTTTCCTTATTTTTTTCCTTTATATCTTTGTGTGTATATAAATCTACATAAATTGCCGAATTTAGAGACATATTGGGACAAGTAAAAAAAAAAAACACATTTAAGTCCAATAGATTCACTCTTTTTTTTTGGAAATCAATATATTCACTTCACTAACTCATTTGTGTGTGTTCATATTCAATCAGTTGTATTCAATACATACTCAACGTTTATCTTATTTTAATTAAATGTTTTGTTTTGGATTTCACGATGGTCAGGAAGACGAGGCCAAAATTTACATGGAGGTTGCCCTTACTAGCATTTGTTTCAGGGTTGCTCGGGTACGCAAAACTAATACAATGATTTGATTATTTAACTGAAATTTTGGGCTTTTTCAGTGTACGGTGAGAATACACAAAAATGTAAAATATACCATAGATAAAAATTGTTGCAACGTGGATAAAAATGTATGTCATAATGTATAATTTGTTGTAATATGTTGTAACGATTGAATATGATGAATCTTGGGGTTTCAAAATCAAATCTACAAATTATATCATTTGAAGCTAGGATTTACTGTTACATGGTGATTATATGGAGTTTCATGGATTATGCAAATTTAGGTTTTTGACTATTTTACAGAGCGGCGATACCAAATATTCTTTGCCGGGTCTGATTCTAACATCAGCGACATGTTCGACTGTGGCTAGTATCCTTAGCCCATTGATTACTTTGGTATTATCTGTGATTTTTCGGTATGGCACATTTAACTTTTCACTATCTTTTTTTTTTGAAATAGTATGATCTATTCATATTCGTTTAGTTTCATGTCATGAAATTCTTTTATTTTCGGTTGTTTACCAAAAAAAAATGTTCTTTTCGATTTGACAAAGATATGTTTTACTGAACTTTTATATTCTATTATTTTATATATTCTCTTATAAATTTTGATTTCTCGTATACTTCAATAAAATAAAAACTCAATTAAAAAAGAAGGTATGATAGTACATGTATGATTTTTTATAATTTGTTAGGCATATCAATACAACATCCAAATGATCAAACATACCTGTTAATTCATTTACTACTTTTAAAATTACACCATTAGATCTAAATAAATAATTACTATATATATGGGTATATATTTAGACAAATCATGTAAACTTGTATGGGTATCCACTAAACATCTATTTATATAGTCTTTTTTTTTTTTGGTCAGAAACACTAAATAGAATCTAAAATAGTAATTATCCTGCAAAAAAGAAGTTTGTTTGTTCAAAAGCATAAGTGGGAAACCCTTAACTATTCGAAACCAAACAAATATGAATAAAGGCTTAAAACTAGAAAAGGCTAACGATACGTCTAATTCTTATTTAACAAGGATGGAGACTCTACGGCTAGGATCGAATGAAGGAAAGGCAAAGCTCGTGGGAACATTGCTTGGAGTCGGTGGAGCCCTCGTGTTTGTACTCTACAAAGGTGTTGAGATTCATATATGGTCAACGCACGTTGACTTACTTAGAAGCTCGAATACTGATCAATCACATGGTCTAGTCACTACGAACCACCCCGTCTCAGTCCCAGGGGTTCTTATGGTTCTTGGCTGTAACGTTTCCGTCTCACTTTGGTTAATATTGCAAGCAAGATTCTACTTTTATATATATACTCTATATCATCCTTTGGCTAGGCTAGTTTTAATCCATATATAATGATCATGTAAACAACACAATTTTCAATTGTTTTTTTTTTGTTGCTAAAGTACAATTTTCAAATTGTTGTAGTGTTTAGTATATCCAATAATATTAAGGGTGCCAAAAAATATTCATGTATATGTTATATAATCTATATATACGTCGAAGAGAGAGTGCGACATTAAAGTGAGCTATTGTTGATCGAATTGGTTAATATTTTGGGCGTTGATATATAAGATGTTAATTTTAAGAAACATTATTTTACAGGCAAAAATATAGGCAAGCAACTTGGAGGAAGTTATTGGAACATAAGTATCATGAATGCGATGGGAAGCTTGATGTGCATGGTTGTTGCTCTCTGTTCAGATCGTGACTGGAAGCAATGGCGATTAGGCTGGAATATTACCCTCCTAACTACGCTTTATTCGGTAAAAACAATCTACCCAATGATTAGGATTATTTAGAAATGTTTCCGATTGCGTACACATGCATATACATATATGTGTGTGTGTCTTTGATACAAGTTTTTAAATATATTGTTCACCATGTGTAGGGAGTCGTGGTTTCGGGAATGGTCATGCCTCTTGTTGCGTGGTGCGTTGAAAAAAAAAGGACCGTTATATTTTACAGTGTTCAGCCCTGTACGGCTGGTGATCGTCACTAAACGCGCTAGGCGCTTACTAGGCGACGAAAAGAGGCTTAGCGCCTAGCCATATATGCGGGAGTATAGGCGGAGCCTAGGCGGATAATTATTATATATATATATACATAATATATTGTATATATAATGAATAAAACATGAATATATTTTATATTTAGAAATGAGAATTCTCAAATACTAAATTTAGTAAATTATTATGTAGAAGAACATGTAGTTTGTTTTAAATATACATATAAGTATATAACCTTAAAATGTAAATTATAAATCTTACAAAATATATACAAATATAAAAGATATAATGTCTACATTTATTTTCAAAATGAATTTAACTAATAGATTTAATCTTTAGAGGCTAAAAAGAAATATTTATTATGATAAACAATTTTATTTTACAATATAATAAAAAAATTGTGATTCTTAAAAAAAAATTTATATGGCCGCCTAATATCCGTCTAGACCGCGTAATTGTCCGCCTAGACCGCATAAACGCCCATCTAGACCGCATAAACATCCGTATTTTTAAGAACTGCAT